TTTCAAAGATATAAGAGGCAGACACAAAGGTAGAAAAAAGGTGAGGTGAGTACTGTGGAAGTAGTCAAATATGACATACAGTGGGGTGATGGTAGTTTGAAGTGAGAAGTCAACTTCCAGTTATTATACTTTTTGGCCGTATGAGCATACGTTGTCCAGGGTGCACCACGTGGAGGTAAGTCTATCACGCAGCCCCAAAATAAAATCATTATAAGAAAAAAAGCGAGGTTCGTACCTGAAATCATTTCTTTCTAATTTGTAGGCTCTGACTAAACTGTTACGTTATTTCACCTATTTCACAGATTCAACATTTTTTATCTTTAGGTTCATAAAATTTGTTTCACTTAGTTCGTTTCGATAAAATTTTAAAACTCAAATTCTTGTTAACCACTCTTCATTTGTTGGTGACTCAAAATTTGCCATTTATTTGTCTATTCCTTATTTTAAATTTAAAACCAACTCAAAAGAAGAACGCGATTATAATTTAATTTTAATTTGCCCGTGCTAGTTAAAAATTTGCTAAAAGCAAAAGAGTTTGTGCTTCTGCTCCAATATTCACGGTTTATAATTAATAATTTAGTTTTTATTTATTTAAAGCTTTGTTTCTTTAATTTTGCATTTAATTTTCATGTTTGTTTTGCCATTCAAACTGTACATCTTTTCACTCAATGATTGTGATGCAAAGCGAAAACAAAAATATTTCAGCACATTTAACACTTTTAATGTGCAAGAATAGATATTCATATTTACTTAATTGCATTTAGCATTGTTTTTCATTTATAAAACGATTTTTCTTACATTATATAACAATAGTTAATTTTAAAATATGCCTTCTGAAATGTGATAAAAGTATGAAGAAAATATGCTTAGATCTTTCTTACATAACATTTTATTAAACAAACTAATTAGCCAAATAATTTTGCAAAATTTTATAAATTTATTTGCAGAACCTTCAATACAAGGTCTAAATAGTGAATATTTTTTCAAATCCATAACTGCTTTGGTTCTCCATGACGTTTGATATAAATAAATATTACTATTTAAGAAATTTACTAAGATATGTAGATATCTTTTTAAATTATTGAGCGCCTGAATTAGACAAATATTGATCTGTAGCATATTAAAAATTCATGCTTTATATATGTTTTATGGATTATTTAAAGATTTTATTGAAGGTTAATTATCTGAGTATTGCATGTTTGGGTTTTGAATTTTCCGTGGTCTAATGCCCAAAAATTTAAATAGGGTCTGCCTCCCTCGTCGACTTATATAAGCTAATTTTGAATATTTTCATGGAGAAAACCAATCCTTTTTTCGCTTAGTCTTGTGGAACACGTAGAGGATTGCTACCTTAGTAAAGCCTGACTGACTCAGAAATCTCTATGGCAGGTTCTCCCATATCTAGCTAGACTCTCAGAACCAGCTAAGCTATAGCTAGCCATGAAGGAAACAGACGTACAGCACGGAACACGTTTATTCAGTAAGTATCTTGTGAGCAAAGTGTACACGCAGGGCGCTTAATCATGATCAGGATGATGGATTAGGTTAAACAAACGGAGGCTACTGATTGGCCACTGTTTGTACGGTCACTGCACATAGAGTTGTACGGCTACAACGTGTTCCACAACGCTATCGCTTAACAAGTAATCTCATGCTCGCACGGACAAACCTGAAGGTGCGCTCGTGAGTGTGGCGAACACAACCAACAGTTAATCAAAGGCCTTAGTTCGTTTTATAAAATCCGCCATATTGATTGCGACTAAGCTACCGGCATGCACACATATACCAAGCCAAACCTCTCAAATGTACTCGTTTTGCAAGAAACAACCCAGCGAAAATTAATTAACGTTAATTTGGCATCACAAGCCCCACTCACTGAACGCACAGCTGACTTTATTCTGAGAGCTGATCAAAATCTCGATAAAATCTTGCCAAGGGAGGCGTTTCGATATTACACAACGGCGTTGACTTGGATGCGAATCATCGAGACTAAGCGCAATTCTTATCAGTTTTTAACTGAGGAGGAGCATCAATTTCGGCGAGTCTACACCCAAAGGAAATACCAAGTCCCGCAGCCTATCCTCTTGTTCCTGTGTAGCTTTGGAACGGTGATAGCATTGAATGGGGAGAAATACGACCCATACTTCCCTTCCTTGCCCCATTCCCAAGTAGGAAACTTTGGTGGTTACTACGACCACAACGTTTATGACGTTGATAACCACAATCTGTATGAGGAGGTTCCAGCGCTGGGTGTGGTAGCAGAAGCTTGCCGTCAATCGGCTAGCAATGCGCCGGCTGGTGACTATCAACCAGCAATATCACCTGACTCTTCTCTTCGAGCAAACCTGAATCTGTTAGGTTACGCTCCTCTTGTCTACAGGAGGCAGGAAGCTAAGAATATCTTCTTGGCAAATGGAATCGGCGGTGATGTCTTTCCTGAAGACATACCAAACACAGCAATCAACTTCGCATTGATTGATTCAGTTTCCAATGTCCTTTCCATGTCCTCTGCATTTAGAATGACAGAGGTTGACTTCCCAAGCATGCCTCCCGAAGGCAATCGTTGCATGCTTCTCCCGTCCACTCCTTCCGACTTATGGAACCCAGTGGGTGTAGCATACACCAATGCAAATTTCATTACCTATTCCCTATTTCGAGACACTCCGACGACTTTTGGAGTAGCATCTGTTATGTTGCTTCAGTTATTCAAGGAACCTCGCCCACAAGGGAATAACCCTAATAACGCTTGGCTAGGCTTCGACTACACAGACGATAAGCCTGCTCCCCAAGCCATGATTGACAATCGGAACCACCGTCGTCGTCAACAAAACGATCCCCACGGCCTCCCTCAACGGTTCAACGAACGCGTGTTCTCGTGCAATTCGGTTAACGCGAGATCACAGAGAACCTTATTTCTTGAATCCCTCGAGTTGAGACAACAGTCCCAAAGGTGTCGGGCTCCCTTCTATAATAAGCCGCGCTGATAATGTGTACTTCGGCCACCTATTTGTTGAATCATATTTAGGAGTATCTGGATCTTGCAATCAAAGTCTGTAATGTTAATTATTTTCTTGAACTATATGTTTTTAATTTACCGTATGCATAAAAATTGTAATTCAAAACCAGAAAATAAATCATTATGTGCATTGTAATTAACTATGATTGTTGGTCATTGCAGTACGGCACTTTTGGTACACTGAAATTATTCAGTTCTGCATTCCTTATAACTGGCCAACTTTCGGTTCGGATGCTGTCAAAGAATGACTTCCCGGCCACAGTATCCATATCCATTGTAAAACCGTCAGTCTTTGCTATTTATTTCAATAATTTCGTTATACTCCAATTTTGAGTTACATTTGATCAATTATTCGGTAGAGTGGTTGATTTGATTGGCTAGAAGAGGTTAGCAAATCAATTTAGCCCAACCTCTTAGTCACTAATTAACCTTAAAACATCGCAGTCATAAGGACTTAAACAACCACTGTATTGGTACTCTTGATAGCTGCTGAGTGAAATGGGAAAAAGTTATAACTTTTAATCCTCTTGATGTCTGGATTTTGTTTTTATCGTCTTCTCAAGATGTTGCTAAGGCGCACTTTATTGGACAAATTCTTGCCTTAACGGGGATTAAGTGCTTTGCTTAAAAAAATTTGAATTGTCTCGCTTTCACTGGAAATGTTAGTAAGGGAGTAAAAAATTAGCCTAATATTTATTTGCTACTTCCGTGGCCTATAAAAGCGTAAAAATATTTGAACAACGTAACAATGGAACCTTATTATACTATCGTGATAATTTTCTCCTGAATTCAGTTCGATAAATTTTAAAGTACACAATTGTCTAACTTTTACTTATCCAATTAATGAAATTAGTCCTTAAATTCTATTAGCAAGAGACAGATTATATTTCTTTATTCCGATGTGCCACTAAGGGTTGTCGTCATTTTACTTCAGCAATATTTTGACTTAAATAATTACAATTAATAATTTATTTCACCATAGAGAAAATTGTTTTTTTGTTCTTGCGGATGAATGGTAACCAAGCAACGCTTCAAGAAAATGCTCCAATCATTTTAATGCTATCTCCTCGTTTCACAACTAGGAAGTGAAGCTGATAGTGAAATGGCTTGAATTACTTTTGCCATCTGTTCTATTTCCAACCGAAATTAATCACCCTGTTTGAGTAAACTGTGTCTGAATGCGATATTATTAGAGTACGATTGTTTATAATGTAATTTCCGAAAAATTAAAATAGGTGGGACATTTTGAAAGCTGTTTCAATATTCAGTAATGTTGCATACCAGCAAAATCGAAGAATTGTCATTTTGTTATAAAGTATGAATTGATTCATTCATACTTTATTCCATCGAACGCAACTCTGGCAATTCTAGTTACTACCAGCAAGCCGGCATGTAACTGTTAAAATATATAAATACTCTAAGGATGACAGTATGACAGTTTTGGTTAAATAAAGCAGCTAATCTAGGACATGCATCCAAAATTCAACCAAGTGTTAAAGTCACATTCTCTTTGCAAATAAACGAGAAATCACAAGAAGTCATTGTTTAGACTGTAGAGTATTTGAATCTGCAACGTTATAGCATAAGTGATTAATACAGTCCGATGTCTACAGAACTTTGGTGAAGTGAATCTCTTCCGGTTTCAACACATCTCTTCTCCAATCTGCACAGCTTCAGTTCATCTTCTATTGGCCATATCCGGTTTCAATCACATTTAAATGCTCTGTCACCAGAAAAAGAAACTTTAGCTATAAAGGATTAATGAAATTATATTTTGATGGATGGGGTGTGCGAGAGACTTTCCTCCACGTGGAGCACCCTGGGCAACGTATACTCATACGGCAAAAAGTCTACCCTGGGTAACGTATACTCATACGGCAAAATCTATTTGTGCGCCCTGGGCAACGTATACTCATACGGCAAAAAGTCTATTACTCGGCAGTTGACTTCTGACTTCAAACTACCATCACCTAACTATATGTCATATTCGAACATTTCCACATTATTCACCTCACCTTTTCTCTGCCTTTGTGTCTGTCTGTTACATCTGTGAATCACTCTTCTTTCCCCTGTCGAATTTTTCTCACTTTAATGTTCCTCCCTTCTGTGAAGCCCGAAGTCAACTAAAGGACTAAATAAAAAAATTAACTGTGGATTGGCTGCACTCACAACCCCAAGTGCTTCTCAACGCGATCAGCGCGCTCGCGCGTTCCAGAATGTTCTTGCTTAGTTGCAACTCCTTGGATCAGCTATGCCAGTCCTACGGTCTTCACCACTGTAATATTAACGTTTAACTTACGGATAAATTAATATCCTTAATGGCGAAATCGGTTCCATTTTATGAGTAGTCGCGTTTCAGCAATGTGTAGAAAGAAAGACAGGATTTAATCGGGCCACTGCTTAACACGCTAGTGTCCAAGCATTATACCTGAATCTATGTCACAAACAGACATGAGTATGAATTTTCAAAGATATGAAATGATTCATTTTTAATAATCACCGGTGTTTTAAATTGGAATTGAATGTAATAGTTCAATAAATTTTGACATATTTAACTCATTGATCAGACTCACAATAAATAGCCATCTTTACTGGCTCAAATTAAGAAATCCTAATGGTAGGCACTACTGGAATGACGAAATAAGTTGAATTTTTTTGTCTCCATCCACCACAGTGTCTGGCGGTCCTAAAAGAATGATTTGTAAACAATTGGCCTTACCTCCGAATTCATGCCTTACTCCCATCTGGTCACAAATACGATCATTCACTGCATCACGACACAAAGTTCTACTAGATTCTCATGCTGTTAGTGTAAATTTTCACTATGCCGAGGCGACAAATTTCCTTTAAATTCATTATTTGCTTATAATCTATTCAACCAATATAGTATTGTTTTTGCTTTCTATTGCCGTTCACCAACTGTACGGTTATAAAATCGACGCTTAACACCCGACTTTAAGCATGAATGTCGGGGTATGACTGCCTGATCAGTCTCTGTGAGAATTGTAATCAATAAATCCAGGTGTATGTGTACCCCGCTCGATACATCCAACCTGATAGTGCTATTTTTCTGCCTACTTCACCTTGACTGTGTGCTATTCAGTTCACCGAACTTTTGTAACATTGATTTCGGTACTGTATGAATTCCGAAATTACAAATTCTAGTTCAGTTCAACCCCAGTTGCACTCCAAAATATGATAAGAATTTAATTTTTAACAAAAACAGCTCACTTGATATTACTCTAAATTGTAAAAACAAAAAATTCTTGTGTCCTTTGTTTGAATGTTTAACAATGATTGAAGGTTTACAGGGGTGCAAACTCTCACTCCACATTGGAACACCAGATTAAGGTGTTAAAAGAACTTAGACCTTCCAATTTCCCTTTTTTGCCCTTACAAATCTCTGAATGTCGTGGGGAGCTCCACCTTCTTCCAAATATTGGCCGAACTGTGGTCATGATGGACCTATGCATCTTCAACATAATTCCAAATTAAATGTCAAAATCAAGCAAATTTGCATATTCCATGATTAATGCTTAATCAAGTGGATATGTTCTTTAATTACAACTGTTTTGGATCTACTTTCTATGCTACTGGCATTTCATTATTTTAATATCCCAGTGCGTCCACCACTTACGATCATCACTTTGCGCTTTAATTATCTCCTAAAATCAAAGTATAAACCAAAGTTGGGCTTTTCAATTAAGCCTCATTAGGCATTCTTATTAAATGTGTGGGAAAAAATTTTGAGAAGGCTCAATAAAAAGGGAAAGTGAAGATGGATCATATTTTTTTGAACTAGCTGGTGTTGGGAAGAAAAGTTTCGGAAAGAATTTAGTCTTTTTTCGGTTTTTATTTGTTTAAATACTTCAACATGTAACATATAACACTTGGAAACACGAAGATTTCCACATGTTAAATACCATCATTTTCACAATTTTTCAATAATGCACAGTTTGATCAATGGTAAATAATAAGGCTCAAAATGTGTTCATTTATAATTAGTGGAATTAAGAGAAAGATTAGATTCTAAGGGGTTTTACTTTGACCCGCGTTCTGATTTCAATCAAATTACAAAGAAAATCTTTTGTTTTTGATTAATGTTTAAAGTTTTCTGTGCTACACTCCATCTCGCAAGAAAAATTACGAGGCTGCAGAAATCGGCTGTTTTACGAAATGCAGGAATCTTTGCTCGCCAGGTTCTGGGCTCAGATGGGCTGAATATATTGAAATTGACCCACCATTCAACCTCTCGTCTAGCTCCGCACGTTAGGTGACATAAAATAGTAAATCTAATCCCCGAGATCAATTTTTTAATTTGAAATTCGAGGCCAACGAAAAAGTAAATGGATAAGGAAATTGGAGGGAATCGCTCTGTCAACATCAGCTTTTGTTCCACCAGTGGCTATGCTTATATTTTAAGCAATTATTCAAGAAATTCTTCAATCCTTTTCCAATTGATTTAAGCAGGTTGACTTTAACAATATTTAGCAACCAGTAATGTCAGTTATAGAATGCAATTGACTTGATGCTATCTCATCAACGACGTTCTGTTCCAATAAAGTATACTCAGAACCGCCATATTACTTCAAACCAAAACTCCGCTAACAACTTTAGCATGCCGCTCTAAACAAAAGATTCAACTTCCACCACCACCACCACTACCACCACCCCCCCTCTCTCCCTTCAACCCTTCAGCAGCAGTTATACCTTATCAAGGATCGATTTCATTACAATGTGTCTCTATTCCCTTTTACACTAAGCACCCTTGACCACAATGCGACTATTTTCATCTCTGTTTACACACTCTCTCTATACTCAAATTGGTAAAAATTGATGCATTAACTTCATTGTGTAATGGTTAAAATACAAGGTGACCATCTGTTCAAATTGTTACAATAGGAGTAGTTGCAACTTTCAGAACCTTTTGTTTCTTCTATGAGAGTTAAAGTATTCATGATAGAATGCCCTCCACCCGAGAAGGGTGAAATAATCTGAAAGGCAGCACTAACTGATTGCCTTGCGGGGGGGGGGGAAGGGAGGGGGTGGCATTTCTCAATTTGCCCGAAAGAATCGACAACAAAGATGGACTGCGTAATTTAGTCAACTCCTAGTACAGTTAGCTTAGTTGCTTGAGAATCGTGTATTACAAAATAAATCACACTATCAAAGCGATGACTAATTCATCAACTAAAGTCCAGTTCCATTAACCCTAATCCGAATCCCCTCCTCCCTCCCCCCCCCCCCCCCCCCACTCCCTTATCAGTTTCAAGCCATCAAAGTAGATGAATCAGTACTACACTTAACGTAAGTGTCATGCATCGATTTTGCCCGCTAGGACGTGAACGCACATTCAGACAGTTTAAGTACAGTCGTATTCATTAACTTCGCTTATCTGCTTAAAGTGCAGTGCTATTCCCCATGCATAGCATCATAAAGGGGAGAGAGAAGATACAGATCAGGGAGGCTTTATTTTTGTTACAAAATACTCTATCAAATCAAATCACAAGAGATAAACAGAAGCAAAAGTGCTCGAGAACTTCGTTATTACTACTGAAAGACATGATCAAGAGGAGAGAGAGAGAGAGAGAGGTGAAGTGGAGAAAGGAAAAAAAGAAAATACAAGAAAAGAATCTCAATACAAATACTATCACATGTTATTTTCCAGTCCGAGATCTGCTCCAAAACCGCCTATAATAAGGTATGCTATCGTGGTTAAGACTTTGTGTCGACGGAGACAGTGCTTTGTGAAGATTCTCTGCACTCCTAGCTATTACCCAGTCACCACCAAACCCATCTGGTTTGTCCTCATGGGGATAAATTTGATGAAGATGTCGGCTGTGTGAAGCGGCGGGTTCTTTGTGGTTGTGAAGAAGATGACGTTTTCGCTTACCTGTTTGGTCATAAGAATGTGCATCAGCGATGGGAATATCTTCTGCGACGGGTTCAGCTTTGAAGTTAGCATTAGTGAAAATGGAAGGTCGATGTCCTCCAGGGTGAGCATAAACCGGATCTGCAGAATTTCCACTAGCTTCATCAGAGTTTGAGGAAGTGGAAACGTCGTTGAGATCATCGGATGTGAGACGGACTCGTCGATATAGAGGGACCAATGCAACGACGTTGGCGGTTGTGGGGGTGTTTAGACGAAGACGCCAGGCGTTTCGAACAGCACCCACAACCAATAAGACAGAGGCGAAGCAGTGGTAACTTGCGTATCGCTCAAGTTTCGGAAGTAGCACTTTTACCTGAAAATGAGAAGGGAAAAAATGAAATTGAACTACCACGTACAAATTAGTATTCAGAGTAGGCATTCTCATGCCCTTAAAAATGAAGATCAAACACTATCGATTTTTAATAGTAAACAATCAAATTTCATCAGCTGGGCTTTTTTAAGCTATTAATTTAACAATTCGTTAATGAATCTTAGCACATACCGCTTTAAACACTAATTACATCACCAAGTTTCTGTTTCAATGGACTTTCCTCCATACACAGCTCCTTTTTAGGCACGTAGTCGGCTGTTTTAACTTCTATTCGATTCATTTAGTCGTTATATGGCCCAATTCGCTTTCTATGCATGGTAGTTGATCTGCATATACGCGTATCTTTATTTGCCTATGGTATGTTTCGCATTAATCGACTTAAATCACCCAAATACAAATAGGACTGAATACATTCAGGCTTACTTCCGCAATGGACGTTGAGATCAAAAAGTACTCAGTGCGGTATATGGCGAAAAGGAAACTTAAGTCCCCACCTACATTTGCTAATTATCAAACACCTTTAACCGCTTAAGCCACACACACATTTGTACTTCCTTAAGTTTGCAAGCTCACACCATTTGGCACATGAGCTGCTTCCAAATGTTCTCACATTACCCAACAGAAACACCTTCGAGCTTTAATCAGGCACAATTTTAGCCGATCTTTGGAGGATAGAAAAATGTGCTTTCCAATCGCTTTCTGTCGCCTATGTTAAATGCTGATACGCACTTGGTAAGGTAATGCAATCGGAATCAAAGAAAATATGTGAACTGCACAACAACCAAAAGCTTAAAATGCGGTTTAATAATACTAATGGATTCCAAATGCATCAATTAAGACGCGCACCACTTTCGTCTTATCTACTGAGACGGAGAGAGAGAGAAGAGCAAAGCGCACACACACACACACACACACACACAACGTCGCAGTGTGCTTGAGAAAGCCAAGCGCTTGCTAAAATTAATGTCTCATTAAATTCAAAACTCACCTCTCCTTCCTACAAGCAACTAAGGGTATGCACAGACAAAAAAAGCTAAAATTTGCTCATTTGCAAGTGGAAGCTTTAAAATCCAGCGAAGAATAATAATAATATTGCTATTCAAATACGTTCAGAACAACTAGCGAACTCCATTCAGATGTTTTTGAGGCCACTGCATTTGAATTCGGCTTGCGCGCAAGCCGAATTCAACTATGACATTTCACCTCTCTATCTCTCTCTCTCTCTCTCTGATCAAAGTTCACCTTCCTACGGATTATTTACTTACACTGGCCACCAACTTGTCACTGCTACTCCCAGGTCGCTGTAAAAATAACAAGATGCCAAAAAATTGATTTCCACGCTCCAACCTTGAAAACTTCGTTCTCCCACGTTCTGTCAAAATTAAATTTGCCTACTACTTGCAATTCTTGGCATTCTGAATTGGAAATGGTGGCTATTTATTGTTAACACCCATTTCAGGCGACAATTCTCTGGGATCTTAACTATATACGCACTTGCAGTTTGCCATCTTCGAGATGAGTGCTTCTATTTTCCCACAGAATGAGGCTATATCCCTCAAATCCCCCAATCGTCTTTCTGCCTTATCAGGGGTGACATATGCAGAAGTCAGACAGTTGGCTTTTATTATTTAATACAGTGGCATTGATGAAATGTAAGCTTATTTTCGGCTTCAAAATAAAGCAACTCTCGCTTAGCTAACCATGAGAGCCTCTGTTAGTAAAGTCCGATTTAGTAAATAGCGTTTGTATGCAGAATGAACAAAATGCCTTAGAAACGTACCATTTGATCACGGAGACCCTCCATCTGCTTCGAAACATCAGTTTTCTGATCCATAAGTTGAACAAGATCGAAATCTAATATGTAGAGCAATTTATCAAGTCCAATAGCCAACTCAATCATCAGCGTTAAATGCTGATGATGAGCACAAGGGAGAACCCTTCGATTATTCAATGTTGTCAAGCGTTCTACCATATCACAGTAGGTCTTGATTGAGAGTAATACGACAGCCTGCTGTTCCTCTGTGCCTTCCACAAACTGCCTAGCCATAGCATCCACATAAATTCTCACTATACATGATGTATCAATGTCAGAAAAAGATGTTGACGAGGATTGGGAGGTGGTTCCACTTGTCAAAGCTGAGGGTGTTGTATTGAATTTAATTGTGGAGGTAGAGGAATTATTCGTCATTTTTGGCTGTGGGACAGGCTTGGAGATATTGAATGGGGGAGTGTGGTAGACGGAGGGAACTCGGTAATCTGGCAAGCTACCTGACCCATTGGCATAGAGTTCAGGACATCGAACGAAAGCGGGTGCAAGTTGGCAGAATTCGGAGAGAAGGAATGCGAGGGATTCGAGGGGATTGTTAGTCATGGGAGGACCATCACCTACGGTGAAAAATAGATGAGACGATCGTCTAAATGGTGATGAGGGGGGCTTCGCTCCTCCAGTCGCTTTTTCTACGAGGGCCAATTTCTCGACACTGAGACGAAGGAGGTAAGTATGCAGCATAGTGGGGAGTAGGAGAGTGACAAAGAATTTGGATTTTTTGTCGCCAGACAAGTAAGCATCGTAGAATGTTCGGCAGATGGAGTGGATCTCATCGAGAGACGACCAATCTATGAAGATTTTGACGATGCCCTCTACCACTTCCACATCATACATCAATTTGCAACTCTCTCGTACATCTTTGCTGCGTGGCTGAAAGGAGTAGTTTTTAAACCACTGGAAGAGATCTTGAATCTTTGCCCTTACGTTCTAATAAGGAAAAAGGGCAAAAATATCTGTTATTCCCGAAAAAACATATAAAGAAATTTAAAATGATTGTAACATACCATTCAAGCTTTCCTGAAACTAAAGTTATAACTAAGCCAGCACTCATTTAATAAAGTGACAAAGAAAACTGCCATTCGCAATACAAATGCTCTAACTGTCTGGATTGAGCGGTCTGCATATCGGGCACCATAGATGGTCTAGGTCTTGGCACGAATTAAAAACTCAGTTTTATAATCAGTGAGTGGGGTGTGCGATTGACTTACCTGCACGTGGTGCACCCTGGCCAACGTATACTCATACGGCAAA